TCGAGTCGCCCGAGAGAAGCAGGTTTTTTTTGTTTTGTTTTTTTGTCTTAACATGTCTGGACAGTTTGGAGCCCGGGAGCTGCCTGGGGGCGTCTGGATCTGGATGCTGCTGTACTCCGTTTCAACCAAAATGGACCTTAGTGGATGCTGGGAGCGTCCCAGCCCGCTGGGAGAGCCTCCGCGTGTCGTTCCGCCTAGAGCACTATATAGCTCCTTCGGAGCAGAGTAGCGCAATCTAGAACGCCGCCTCTCGGCGACTAGCAGCGAACGCCCGGAGGTTCCAACTGCGGTCAGAAATGCATGGAGAACGTGAGACAATCGCTGTTTCTTCAGTATTGTGGGGGTGTACGGAATGGCAATTGTTTTTAACATAATAATGGAACATTTTAGAATAATTTGCGCTAAGTTTTGTGCCCCGCAAGGACCTGACTTTTTTAAAAAAATTGCTTGAACGGCATCATGCAGCAGATGACACGGCGACGTCACACCATTCACGTGACCCGTTCCGGCCAACCCGAAAAGCCCATCTCCGCTGCGAGCAAAAATCGTCTGCTTCAAACGCCATTGCCTTGGAAATTGCCTTCTCAAAATTTGCACACGCATCCGATATTATTAAAACTTTGATAAAGTGTTTAGTGCTTTACTAACTTCACGACAGACTGGTTTTGGAAAGTGTGAACTCGCCGTTCATTTTTTAATCAGCCGTGTTGTGTCGATCTCCATGTATTCTCTCATAGCGCGGGCCGCCTCCTGGAACTCTGAGTACCACGTGACTCGCGCCGAGCCGCTCTGTCGGCCATGTTGTCGGCAAAACACGGGGTTCAAAGGATTGCGCTACTCTGCTCCGTAGGAGCTATATAGTGCTCTAGTTCCGCCCAGCTGGAGTACTACTGGACTGGCTGGAATGGGGCTCGTCCTATTCACTGCGGTTCATTGGAAGATCGGGAAGCGGAACGCAATCTCCACCGAAAAGCTTTTTTTTTTTTTTTTATGTGAGCGAGCGTGTGTGGTTTTGTGCATGTGCGTGTGCGTGCGTGCCAGCCTACATGTCAGGTGAAGGAAATAAGAAGCGCGTTGTTTGCTCATTTCGCGTGCGCGTCGGTCTCTAAAAAATTGGGTTGTGTGTGTGTTTATACAGCCAAGAACTTGGTCTGCCTCACAGGGGCGACGAGTCTCCCAGCTGTAGATGAGAAATTTAGCCAGTGCGGTACAACCGCTAGCCTGGGGTCTTTAACGTGCATCACGCAGTAGTGATACACGACCGCACGCCGGTACGATGCTCATCCAGATCGAAACGGGCAGGGGTGGGGCTCGAACCCAGGATCCCTGGGTTCTGCAGCGCGAGCTTTCGCTCCATGTGCTCCGAGCTGGTGTGCGCTAGACCACTCGGCCACCGATCCCCCTTTTTTTTTTCTTTATTGCCAGGCTTTATTCATTCACAAAATACACCCTCAGAAGCACTTCTGAAAAAGGTCAAGCTGACTTACGACTGACGCACTCTGATTAACATGATCTTAACGTGACCAGTCCGTCTAGAACTGGCAACCAATCAGGCCCTTCTCCCAAAACCTTATACACTTCTCTAATCTGACTAATGCTCTGAGTAAAATAGTGACATACTGGTCGAGCATCCACATCAGCATGCCGCACTGCCATGCGGCTCTTCCAGATACTGTGTAAGCCAATAACCACAAGTAAATCATACGGTACAGAGTCGGTTGGGGCAACAGGCAGAAAACGTATCCCGTGTGCGCTTAGAGGAAGTTCCTTTTTCAGAGTTCGCTGCAGTACATCCCAGTAGAACACTGCGTCCCAACAATCTAAAAATACATGTTCTCTCGACTCGGGCCTTTTGCACAAGATACAGTTCACAGTCCAGGGAACAAAAATGCCCTTTTCGTCCAGCCATGTTTTAACCGGAAGCGTTCCGCTGTGAAGTTGAAAGAAAAAGGTTTTCATTGTGGCCGGGACCAGCATTTTCTTAACGCGTCGAAGTACATCCTGTCCTGAAGTCTCGCTGTAAATAGCTCGATACAAAGGGGTTGGAAATGACGTTTCTATTAGATTTCTTGTAAGTCGCTTTCGAGAGACAGTACTGAGATATTCTAAAGAGAAACGCGTGGTTAAAAATTTGTATGCACCGACAACTTCCTTCAAATAAGCACTCAGTAGTCCCGTAGCACCATCACTGGATGAAACGATGAAATTGGGTAAGACACCCGACAATTGAACCTGAAGAACAGTACGCAGAAAGGGATCCTCTTGATCACGCAGGAAAAGAAAACGGTTAACAATTTGGCGCATGAAAAGATGTGATAAAGAAAGACCACCATGCCGTACGCGCCGAAACAAATTCATCCGGCTGACGCGCTCCCAGCTGGACGCCCACACATATACAGCGAATACACGATGCAACTTCTGAATGTGAAATCGAGAACAATGCAAGACCTGTAGAAGATACCACAGCTTAGCGACAAAAAATGAGTTACACACTGTAGCTCTTGCGAAAATAGACAAATGGCGGCCTGCACTGGGGGCCGCTTTCTCGCGCAGCCTATTTGTCTCTTCGCTCCACAGACCCGCGCTGTCACGATAGTATTCCAATGGTACGCCAAGATAACGGGTGGGAAGGGTTCACCAGGCAACTTCAGCGAGAAAGTTTGGCTTCGATGCCCATCGGCCGTGCCAAAACCCCGAACATTTCGACCAGTTCACTGAACATCCGGTCCGAGTACAAAAAGTTTTAGTGATTTCGATGGCTTTTTCAATACTCTCGCTATCTGTGCAAAAAATAGCAATGTCGTCCGCATAAGCCAAAATGCGTACCTCGCGCGCATTCAAGGTAAAACCGCGAACATGTTCACTCCGAATGATACTTAAGCAGTATGGTTCAATATACAACGCAAACAGTAATGGCGAGAGCGGACAGCCTTGTCTAACAGAAGATTTTACAGGAATGCGTTCACTGACTCGCTTATTAACAATAAGACTCGTTGTACAATTATAATATGCCATTTGCACACCTTCAAGAATAATAGGTCCTATATCGATATGCTTCAAAATTTGGCTTAAAACGTCATGAGACACCCGATCGAAGGCCTTTTCCAAGTCAATTTGTAACATGGCGACTTTGCGCAGCTCACCGTCACAACACTCCAAGATACTGCGCGCAACATGAATGTTGGTCAAAATAGTCCGACCCTGTATGCCGCATGTCTGATGAGGCCCAACAACACTCGTTATCACACGCTGGAAGCGGCGAGCGAGGACTTTCATTAGTATTTTATAGTCAACATTAGTAAGGCTTATTGGACGGTAGGAGTTAACACTGCGAAGCTTAACGGGATCGTCACACTTCGGGATTAACACTGTGTGTGTGCGTGAAAAGGAGGGGGGGAGAGCTTTTCTTTCATATGCCTCGGTGAAAACTTCGAGTAACACGGATGAAATTTCATGTTTAAATGTTTTGTAAAAACCAGCAATTAAGCCATCTGGCCCAGGCGATTTTCCGGGTTTTAAGTCATCTATCGCTTTTGTTACCTCTGACAAGCTGATTGGTTTCTCTAAAAAGTCCTTATCGTTTCCGTCAACCTTCGGCAGTAGAGGCAGAAAGTCGTCTTTAAATCCTGACAGTGGTGGGGCGCTACAACTAAACAGCTTTTTATAGTGCTGAACAAACGCCTCTTCGATAGGACTTTTGTCGCTGGACAAAACTCCTAAGTGTTCTATTTCAACTACATCATTAGCTCGCGCGTATTTCTTTTCCGCCGCCACCATTCTTTTTGTCGGCTGCTCTCCCACCAAAAAACGCTCTGAACGAGCCCGTATTGCCGCCCCCCTGTATCGGTCGCGATCGAGATTTTCGAGTTTGGCTTTCAGGTGGTTAATATCCTCAATGAAAACGCCGGGTGCCCGGCATTCTTCCTGTAGCAGCTTGTCTAAGTTTTTTCGGTACTCCAATTCTTGACTCTTCTCCTGATTTTTTAGGAGACATGTCCTTTCAAGTGCAGTTAATTTCACCTCCTGTTTAAATGTTTCCCAGCGCTCGCTTGCACTGCCTCCTTTCAGTTGCGCGTCCCTCCAGATTGTCTTAATACCGGAAAGGAATGGTTCATCCTTTAAAAGTTTTGCATTCATTTTCCATAATTCCCATGAGAAACTGGCCCCCTCTTTCTTTTTACCTAATTGGAATGTGACAAGGCAGTGATCGCTAAAAGCAACGTAGTCTACAGAATAACTCCGACACAAATATACCAGATCCGATGCAATATACGCCCGGTCCAGTCTCGCGTGACTGACACCCTGAAAGTGCGTGAAAGGCATACAGTTTGACCGAGGCACACAACATGCGACGTCTTCCAGAACAAAATCTTCAATAATGTTATTTAATTCTAGGGTACTGGCATCCCTATAGCGCGTTCGGTTGGACCTGTCTTCAGCTCGGCAGACACAATTGAAGTCACCCAAAATGATCAGAAAACGATCGGACTGGCAATGTTGGTAAACGTTTTGGAAACAAACCCGGCGCTCCTCAGCCTCATTAGGTGCATAAACACAAATGACACGCCATTCATTTCCCATAACAGAAAAATCACACATGACAAACCTCCCAGATGGGCAGGTCGTGACGGTTTGCACGGCAGCACCCAGAGACTTTCTGAGGAACAGGCAGCAGCCAGCCGAGAAACCAACAGCATGACTCACGCAGACTTCATACCGCGCCAGAAAAGGCCGTACCATGCAGTCAGTCTGGTCCTCGCTCTCGACTTTGGTTTCCTGAATAGCGACAATGTCCAGGTCATGCTCGGTGAACAGCCGGTAGAGCTGTTGCTGCCGTCGTCTGGCTGCAAGTCCGCGAACGTTCAACGTAGCCACGCGCAAGGCGTTTTCAAGGGAAACCATCGGAAAGCGAGTCTCAGACCTCGTACGCTTGGGTCATTTCTCGCCCTACCTGGGAAGAGACGAAGAACGGCTGCGGCCAGCGCGTCGTCCCCTCTTGCTCGTCACTATGAACCAGGGTCCCTCAGTCTGCTGGAGCGTCTGGTCGGTTCCCTGCTCCGGGTCGCTGAGCCGCCGCTTGATCGCCTCGGTCGCGAAGTCCATTGCTGTACCATCTCCGGCGTCCAGTGCGTCAGTCGCGTCCTTAGCTGCCGGTGTCGTTTCACTGGTCTTCTTCGCGTTAGGCTCATTTTCACCGACAGTGCCTTCTGCCGTCAACGTTACGGTGGAGACCTGGCCTTTTGGCATCGCCGTCAGCTCGTGTTCCTGCTCACCGGACTCTTGACGGTCTTGCGAAGAAATCCTCGCGGTTGGAGTCGCCGCCGCCTCGGCCTCCTCCTCGTCCATTACGAGGTTTCTGTCCTGGCTGTCGGTGGTCTTGCTGGCAACAGCTCGAGCATACGACCGTACGCAATCCGAGGCCTCATGCCCGAAGGCTCGACACTCCTCGCACCTCGGCACTCTGCAGTCTCGCCGTATATGTCCCGTGCGTCGACAGCGGAGGCACACCGGCGCCCGTCCGGGGACGACAACCAGGAGCGGGCCTCCGTAGAGGCGGAGCTGATGCGGCAGGGACTCCGGTGTTACGCCTTCGCGGAGCACCATGCGGACGATGACGGTAGTGGAATCCACGTCTGCCAGGCCCTCGATTCTCCACTTCTCTCGGGTGACACCCTTGACCTCCCCGTACGGCTCGAAGGCCCGTCGAAGGGCGTCAGCAGTTACGTCGAATGCCACCCAGTGGACTTTTACCTTCAGCTCTCGTTTTTCTGGATCAATGACCAGGCATGGTCGCCCCTTCACCAGCATGGTCCCCTCTCGCAGAAGCTTCTCTTTGGCGGAGGCGTTGTGCAGCTTCAGCAGCCAGACGTGCCCCATTTGAAACGCGCCAAGTCCTGCTACGTCTTCCCGAACTCCCACCTGGTTCAGAGGTCCTACGAAGTCTTCAGCACGGTACGGCCTCCCCCGGGTATCAGCGTGCAGCACAAGGCTGCATTTCATGGCTTCTCCTGTCGGCAGAGTAGGCAGTATCACTGCGTAGTCGTTCGGAACATCGCCGCGTACGGCATCACCGCGGCTCAGGGCCGCCGTCATCGAGCTCACAGCGGAGCGATCCATTCCACGTGCGCACGCTACCGCGTTCGAAATTGGAATGCGGCCACCGATCCCCCCCCGCGTCGGTCTCTAACGTTATTGTGCCCTGTGGTTTGCTGCTCTACGCTTTCGCTGCCTGAAGCTTCTCAACAATGCCAAAAAACAAAGGTCCCAAAGAGCGTGCTGATTCGGCAATAAACCCAACATTCCTTTTGCTACTCTACCGACGGGGATATGGTCTTCTGTCAACTTTGAGCGAAGCAGGTAAGAAGACACCCTTAGAGGTACCTTGTTTTGGAGGAAAACCAAAAGTTGATCGAACGACGATTTAGCGAATGAATACGAAACCACGACATTTCAGCGAATGACGCTGTTGCGCATGGCAGCTTCGTTTCCCCTGACCGAGAGCAAGGGGTAACCTCGCAAGTTTAGAAGCCTAGCTCGTCACCGCCAAAAAACAGCCTATTCGCTAAAATGTCATTCGCACAAACGTTCGGTCGCTCAAATATTTTCTAATCGCTAAAACGTCATTCGCTCATTAAATATTGACCAAGAAAAACACCCGCATCTTTATTAAAGAGATGATATAGATGTAATATTTAATAAAAGGTTTAGTGGCCCATGGGTTGAAGAAGGATTTCCTGCACAAAGTCCCCATGCCTCTACAAAACTGTCAACCCCCCTCCGCCCCCCCCCCCCCCCGCGGCCCAGACAGGCACATACATTTGTAATGCAGGAGTTTCCTGATTCCTGGGATGATCCTCCAAAAACAGATTAAATATTTTTTTATTCGACGGATACCAGTCAAGCACAGTATTTTGGAAGTCTATTAGCCCTGAGAACGAACACAACCGTTGCTGTGGTTGCAGCGTGCTGATTGGCTGCTGTGTCTCTCCGTGACGTCACAGTGAGAAAAGCGACGTTGTTCCCGTGAGATTAGCATTGCAAGAATTAATTTGTACGCACGGTATTCAAAGACCAAGCAGAAAGAATATTCGAAGTTAACATTAGCCATTACCGGGCCGTTCGCAAGGTGACTCAGGAAAAAATTCCGTGACGTCCCGGACAGGGACCACCGAAAGGAGTCACACAAACTTCTTGACGCTAATTGAAATGTTATTTAAAAAATTAACTACACTCTGTAACAATACAAAACGCACACCGTCTTTCTATCGGACTACTGATCTCCAGTACGGGGTTGTGGCCTCCCGTTATGCTTTGGATGGGCGTGTATAAAGTTGAAACTCACGTTGGGGGCGAGGCAACTGAAATATCCCTTACCTTGCGCGACATAATCGGCAAACCAACTCTAAAGAGATGAATAGCGTGCAGCATTTCACGATGCCCCCCCCCCCCCCCCCCCCCTAAACAGCACGCACCCAATTTGGACAGGAGTCGTAGTGCACCCAACAGCCCTGCGCCAGCTGTTACCTAATACCCGAGTACCACTAGAGCGACATACAGAAACAAAAGACAAAGACAAGCCTCAAACCAGAGTCCTTCGCGATTTGAGACGCTTTGTAGAGTAACGGAGGCTATGCTCAAACGCGAGCATCATGCACGCGAGGGTATCTTTGGCAGGCTTGCAATCGCTCGTGCTTACTTCGCGGGCACCGAACACCGAAGGGGCCATCACGAGCATGCTGCATGGGTTTGAGGCTTGTCGCCGTCTTTTGTCTCTGTCTGTCGCTCTAGTGGGACGCAGGCATAAGCGATAGATAGTCTCGCAAGAGTGAGCTTTGGCAGCGGAGCTTATAGCAGCTGTGTGCTCTGATGCTAAACTAAAACCTGAACAAGCATGCACAATGGGTAGGCTTTTTCACTATTGTAAAACACTTATAAACACTCGGTGGACGAGAGCGGCCCAGGTTTCACGGTTGAGTTACCCAACTAATGGCGAATTCGACTGGTCGTTTTGGAGTGCGCCGGGATCGACTTTTCTGGAGCGAGCATTTTTCACTAGGCGATCAGGATCGAGACGGACGTGTTCCACTGTTCGTTTTGGATTAGCTCTCGCTCCAGATCTTGATCTGGATCCGAAAAAAGTCGCTCCGACGATATCGGCGGATTCAACCGGAAGCCAGCCGGGCCAGGCCTCGGCGCACACACGTGACTTCCTTTCTCGCGGGGCATCTAGCCTGATCTCGCCCATCTCGCCTCAGAATTCGTAATGGCCGCTTGCTTACCGCTTGGCTGCCTTGGCTTGACAGCCGGTTCGTTTTCAAGGAAGGAGAAGAGAAGTTTTTGCCACGCTACGGGCATTCCGGCAATCTTTGCTAGTAGCTCCTGAGCCATTCCTGCCGCTCGTGCGTCGAACACGTGTTAACACCGCGGTTGCGAAAACGTCTTCGAAACAACCGCGGCGGCCGCGGAAAGGGGATTCCTGAGCAGTTGAATGGTTGAATGACGGGAAGGCATCCGCCGATCCCGGAGCGGTGGTCATGTTCCAGCTGGGGATCCGTAGGTGGCGCGACCCTGTTCGAATCGTGTGCTCTTTTCCGGATCTGGTCAACTGATCCCGGCGCGCTCCAAAACGCCCTGTGGAATTAATCATAAGGGTTTTAGTAACGTTCGTTGGAGAGGAAGAAAAACTGCTATTGCATTCATTTTTCGTGTAGAAGTTAATAAACCGAAACGAAATCGGATGTCTATTCGGCGTTCAGTGAACATTAAGTTATATAACAAACGTAGAAAAATCATTTCATGGTCCCTTTAACATAATTTTATTCAGTATATAGTCCTGAAATAGCGAACATACTCAATTTCCTTTTTAGAGTTCGCTTGTTCCTTATCAGGGAAATTCGATAGGGTAATATAGTCATTCTTTCAAACTAAATATGAATGCGGGTGGCGGGCTTTCGTCTCATTTCCAAAATGAACCACTGCATCAGCTCAATGGTACTTCGAACGGATACGGTCTCTTTGGGGCCCTCTCTGACCCTGCAGAAGCAGCAGTAAGATCTAGCGGCTCCGTGGTGACCACACAGCTTGCTCCGCTCTGTCTGCAGACTCGAACTCTCTGAAGCACGGCCACCGGTACACTGGCTACCAGAATGAACATGAGAGCGCCGCCAAGGAACAACACGACGGTCTTGTAGACCGCACCCTCCTCCTTGAAGACCTGGAGCGCCAGGTCCTGGTTCCAATCGCACGGCCTTGAAGTATTTGCGCAGACGCACTGGTAGTCTACGCACTGTCTCTGGCGGTCCTGACACGGCGACAGGCGGGAGCACTGGATAGCGACGCAGGAGGCGACGCCATCTTGGTTCCTGTAGACGTATCCAGGCTTGCAGGTGCACCAGGGCCTCTCACCGCAGAGGCTGTTGGGAACAGTGGAGTCGCACTCTTGACTGCAGTGGCCGAAGGTTTTTCGGTTGCATTCACCAGCGATGATGCTGCATCCGACACGACAAGTGCATCTTCCTGAAAAAAAAAACCAAAAAAAAAACACAAAGCTGAAAAAAAATTAAAAAAAAACTCTGTTTCTTTCTGGGGTGTCACAGTTGATTTCTTTTATATGATCGGGAATTAAAATCGGTAAAAGACTGATGGTTACGTTGGTCAGAGGTCCGAGTACTTAAATGGGAAAGCTCGGGCCGCTCACCCACAAGGCTGCACAATACACAACACCATGAATATAATGAAAAGATATTGGAGTGAAAGCAGAAACACTGCGACTTCTGCTATGCCAATGCTGCAAGCACGAGAGCACGCGATCTTGGCTTTAAAACGTTCGTCCGCAGAACGAGCTCTCGCGCAAGATAGGCCTCTTCGTAGGTCGTAAGCAACATTGTCGTAAGTTGCAGACAGAAGGGCTCTGCAGGCGCGTGCTTAATCCGCACTCAGAAAGACAACACAAGCTTCCGCTATATCCCGCTAGCAACGCAAACATCTTGCATACGATCTTCGAAAATTTATTTTTGTTAGCGCTATGCCAGAACCGAACCTGCAACGAACCCCGAGAAACGCTTCAGCACTGATGGCGTTAATTGTTTTTCAGCAACGTGTGGTGCAAAAACGTTATGCTTGAACGGTCAGCTGAGTTTTAATACACCCTTCTAATGTTTACAACTCCACAGATCGGCACGCTCACGTTCGCTGCTTTAGAGCGCGAGCAACCTACCGCCATAAGCCCGTACACTGAATAAGCTTGCCAAAAATAATAAAAAGTAAGTTAGAGCAACAGCAAGCAGCCGGCAAACGCGCGTATCGCCTCAGTAATTTAACAATTCAATTAGCAATGTGAAGTTACATAAACTACCTGAGCAATTGCCTGTAAACTAGGCGGTGTCCTGACATGCTTTAGTGGGGAAGCATTGCTCGTAGGGGTCATTATGCAAAACAATTTAAATGTTTGTATATAAAACTTCATAGCCTACTTGTTAAGCTCTCTCCATATAAATATATTAGCTTATGTTGTATGTTATGGGGACGTTTCTTTTTCTATAAATAAGTAGGCTTTATGATATTTGTGCGCGTCTTCGTGGAAAGGAGATGACTGAAGAGTTCTCTTTCCAATGGCGCGATTCTTGCTGGGCCGTTTCAAAAGGCACTGTTGTGGTCCGGCCATACCCGATTAAATAAATTATAATAACGGCCGTGTTCACACACAAAAAGTACGGCGGATTTTGTTACTATAATATAACCCGGCTTTATTAATAAAACACGAATCAACTGATACGCTCAAATTATGTTTAGTACTGTATTCTTATATCACTTTGAGGCAACCCATACCTGTATACTCAGCTCGATCTTCGTAAGTTCATGCTACAAAAAAAAAGTATTTCTTGAACTTCTTAAGTGATAATGAACACCAAAAATTGAGTGAACTAACCAAAAAATCGAACAATGCAGTCTAGCAGATCGTCTGCTTTTTCAAATATGTTCGACAACCATTTTCTGTTATAAAGAAACTAACA